ATGAAGCGATCCACATAAACACAGCTTATACCTGCATACATAGGTAGCCACACATACACACTCATGCTTGAATATATTCTATAAAATAGACACACACACACACACACACACACACACACACACACACACACACACACACACACACAGGTACGTGCTACTATAAATATGGACAATACCATCAACAGTTTCCATTCCATTATTCTTGTAGATTTCTATTCTTTTTTTCATATTATGTTGACCCCATTGTCTTGTCTGTGTATTGGTTGTTGTCTGTTTGTTGTGTACTGTTGTCCCTTCATTCCCCCTCCCTCTTTTTTCCTTGTTTGTGTTGCGTGTCTCTTTTCTCTCTGCCTGCCCACTCTGGACCATAAGCATGCTTCAAACATAATAAAGGCTACTGCGCAACAGGAGCAATATCCCACATCCTTCTTGTGGTAGAGTAAAACTGCTCTGGCATGTAAAGGCACCCAGATCAACCGTTCTGTCTGCTTCTACTGCCAGGACAGAACATGTTGGGGGGAAAAAAACGTATTTTGACTAACTCAACAACTAGTTCGTGATTTCAGCTCTAGGCATTTATTGGGTTGTTGCAGCTATATGTCTAAAAAGGTTTTGGAAAATAGAAAAGAAAGAATTACATATTTCCTTTAAATCATGAAGAATTTTTGTAAGAGATATTAAGCCATTTTTTTTCATCATCATGAACTAGTAAACATTTTTCATTTGTAGAGTTGGAATGAAATTGAACAGAATCTTAAGCAATTTAAAATATTTTTTGATATTAATTGAAATGTAAGATTCCTTGAAAGTACGTTTCAGTGAGAATATGGTTGAATTGCAAAATTTTTATATGGCTGGATGACGTGGTGCAAATAATGTAACTACAGACAAATTGAGACCTTTTCCTGTCATTATTTAGTCAGAAACAACGTCGATCACATCTCAGTTCGTTTGTAATTTTGCACTAATTTGCATTCATATTCATAACCAACACCTCCAAAGTTTTTTTTTTTAACTTTCTGTCTTGCCAAAATTAATTAAAAGGACATTATGGAAGTTTGACAGCCAAAACATGTATAGAAATAATAAATTTCTTCTTCATACATTCTCCTGCAATGCCCTGGTACTGTAGAATGAGCCCTGGCATTTTTACTGTGACTGCCTGTTTTTCTGTAAAATCACAGAAAAAGAGAGATGCTCGGGTCGAGCAGGCTGCTTCATGCGCGTTCACGCTCAGGCATAGCCCGTAGCATTTGCTATCTGTAGCTTTAGTCTTTGTCGATGTTCCTAACGCCTAGTGACAAACCTAGCTACATTTCTGAGGACCCTTAGCTACTTTCTGTAGAACTTTCTTCTAGATATTTCCTGCAAATTAGCAACAAAATAGCCATTTTCGCTCCGAACTGTTCTTTGAACGTTGTTTCAGGTGTCATCAAGGATATAAATGTAACAGATACAAAAGACATCACTGGTGCTTTAGCTTACTTAGTAAGATGTCAGACTCTCGTGCAGAAGACCCGGGTTTGATTCTGGATGTGAATATAGTTTAGAGTTCATTTTTTACATTAATGGTATATTTTTTTACAGTATGATGCCCAAATTTTTATTTGAGACTCACCGAACGGCATTGAATTCACAGATAAAAAAGATGTGGGTTCAACTTTCATTTTGGAACAATTTTTCAAGCAAGGGAAGGGAATGATCTGAGCATGCAGGAGGACTGACCCATCATAAACCTTTGTCGGCTGTGCTGAAGAGAAAGGTACAGAACCAAATTATTTAATTAATTAGCTGCACATTCTCCTGTCCTCTGTCCTCCGGGCCACACACACACGGGACTGTCTCAGCTGTAATTTTCGTTAAGGAGTGTGCACGTACAGCATGCGCGCCTTGTGCACGAGCCTACTATTGAAGCTGCCGTTACGCTTTTGGCCTGAGGGGGCAATCGCGAGCTTAAAAATTCAAAACTCTGTAAAGTCCCTTTAAGGACAAAGTTTAAACATGTATGACAGGAGGTTAGGTTGTGTTTGTAAATGAGAAGTGGTTCTCAAACCTTTTCTTTTAAAGTATGTGCTGTTATTTACCTCAGATTCAGACAATATTGATATATTGGATATTAGTAAAAACGCAGATATCAAACATTCCTAGTAAAATGGAGAGAATTTGGGGGGAAAATAGGCATCTCCTAATCTTATCTTTTCACAGGATCATCAATCCCCTTAATAGAAAGTGAAATGAAACATTGATGGATAGTTTCTTGAGAAAGACCGGAGACTGAACTGGACGTACTTGAATCATTTGTTCAAATTTGTGTATCTATAGATTATTTTCTATTCAAAGAACCTGTAGGTACACAAACGGAGTTAGCGCAGATTTATGGCAGCAGTGTTTGCTCAGAGTTCCTCCGCCATTCAGTCTAGGACTGTTTGTGTTCACTGTTTAGTTTGAGGGCGGGCGTTAATCTTGATTAGGAGCCGAATTTTCTGCCAACATTTTGTGCTTTCTCTCTGCACTCAGGTACTTTTGATCCCTTGTTATACTGATGTGAGTAGTGAGACTCTGACACTATTCATCTTAGCAGCTTTTCTTTTAATTACTGCCCTCCCCTGGGAGCCAGCTGTGTAGTTAAACAGAAATCAGCATTACAGCAATTATTGGCTCACAATGAAATGAATACAATCTTGTCATCTGTAATCATTGGGGGCGTCTATGCCTCGGAGAAAACATCTTCTACTATCTGAGTCTAGGAGAGGGGAGGGAGTATTTAGTGCGTGGGAGCAGGGAGAATCCTGGTTGGTCTCCGCGGATCAAACTGCTGCGTGTGCTCAGCAAGGAAACAGGTGAAGGGTGAAGGCCATCTCCTACATGGTCTAAATCTCTGTGTGCTCTTATTAATGATAACAAGTGAAAAAGTAAAAATTAAACCCATGCTAATGAGGTCTCATACTAATAAAGCCAGAAAGAATTATTATGCAATCCCACATTTACCCTCTTCTCCTTCAGCAGTTGTTTAGGTTGTAAGTCCTAAGGTCTTAGGCTAGGATTATACTTGTTTTTTAACCTCATGTTGACGCAGCCTGCGTCTTGTTCACATACTTGCTGCTGCACTGCGCACAGTACTGGAGGACTCCTCTAGGGGGCATAGTACCAAACTCAGACTGGATAGACTGGCGGATTTGTAGAGCGCAAACAAAACAAACATGGCTGCAGTAGAAAGGATAAGCAGCTGGTTAATTCTGAGATCACAACAGAAAAAAAACCAGCAGCAGTATTGTTGGAAGTACAATGGCGAGTATGTCTCGCTCATTTTGTCAACTCCCCACCAGTTATGCAGCTTGTGATTACATTGCGTTAACTTAAACAGACACGCACAAACAGTGCTTCAAACGACGCAGGTTACGCAAGCCAGCTGTGATAAACATACGTAACCACAATTAAAAGCAAGTAAATCCCTGGATTTTTTCCTCCTTTCAGGAATTAGGTCTGATTCATTTAGAAATCTGTAAAAGTGATTGACTCGCTCTGTACTGTGATATAATGTAGGCAATATATCCTGTAGAGTCCCATGCAATTTGAATTGAGTGCTCCTCAGCATTAGCCAATAGCATCAAACAGCCGCCTACACACAGATGTCAATCACAGAGCTGATGTGAGCGTTTGCAGACGTACCTTGACAGATGCAGAGTTGTGGACATTTCTTATGGACAAGTCTTTGAAATATACACATATATGAAAAAAAAACTGTGTAACGTGAGAATAGGATTAAATGTATCTTTCTGCCTATAGATGGTGCCTTCTGGGGAAAAACCCCCTCCTGATTTCTGCTTTAATGACAAGTGGCTAACAGGGAGCCTAAGTCTCCTCCTTTTCCAGTGGACTTATGGGTCCCCGAAAGAATAAAAAAATGAATGCAAGTCAACAGGGCTAAAAGCGTTATTTTCGAATCCACTTTGGTTTACGCCCTGGATCGCACAAATGTTGTACTGACATTTAAATGAAAAGTAATGATGGGTTTTTTGACAACGCCAGTCACGTACTTTGAGATTTATCAGCTTGTAAATGTTCGTGATTAGGATGACTACACACTCGAAATCGGCATGTTGCATTTGTGACGTCACCACATAATCTGCTCTCCCCTAGCGTAGCTGCTACTTACCAAATGGACAGATTTATTGTGGGGTTTTTTTTGTCCTCCTGTGGGAAGTTTGCTGAATTTACAGCCCTTTTCCCTCAGTTTTCTCCCTGTCTGGTTCGATGACGTCCCTTTTGTGAAGCACATTTGTAGTCCTGGACTTATTTTCACATAAAACCTAAAATAAAGTTTCCCCCCGTTCGAAAATGTGCGCGTTGTTGGTATCAAAAAGCTTCATCAAAATTTACGGACATCATATGTGAAAATACAGGATTATTTATTTTTTTCATTTTAATCAAAGGAGAGAAACAAAAGCTCTTGAAATACAAAGTTTAATAAGCATGTTACATTTTTGTAATGATACATGTTAATTACATTTAATTAAGGACCATAAGACATTAAAAATTCATATCTAGTATCAATTCCATCTCATGGACACTGGGTTATTTAAATCAGAAGATTCTAGGTTCGGCTCCTGGCTGGCTCGCCATTATGTTATGATAGATGTTAATTACATTTAATTAAGGATAATAAGACATTAGAAATTCATATCTAGTATGAATTCCATCTTATGGACACTGGGTTATTTAAATCAGAAGATTGGATCTTTTTATTGCAGGGATTTTAAAATAACACTTTGCATTAACTGAGAGACAAGAGAGAAACAAAAGCTCTTGAAATACCAGGTTTAATAAGCATGTTACATTTTGAGAAGCAATAAAGTCCAGACATCATGAAGCTGTAGCCCTCAAACTGTTGCGTGATCTTTTTAACACCATCTGGATCTACTGACACATTCTAGTTGCATTCTCCCTTTTTGTATACAAATCTTTAGCATCAGCTGAGAGTTTTGTTTGTATTTTCGCAGATGCAGAGTGATCTGGACCAGGAATACCAAGACAAATTCCGACGGCTCCCCGTGGAGATCCAGGAGTTTGTTCAGGACAGCAGCAGGACCAAGCTCAATGAAGACGACATCCATGGAAACCTGGTTGCATCCTCCACCACAGAGAAGTTGAACCGCAAAGCGTCCCAGTCTGAGGATGACATGGAGGAGGGCTCGTCGGAACAGGTCTTTGACACGGCCCTTTAGGATATTTAACTTGTTGCTTCACATTGGGACTTCTTTGGGGCGAAATGGTCGCGACCACAGATCTAGAATGAGACTGCTCCAACTGTGGTCCAAATTGTAACCAATGGAGGGATTAGATCCTATCTGAACCTGAACTGGTGAGTAGAGGTCCTCTCTGCGTAGAGTGCTGTCGTGTCTGGAGAGCTGTTTAAGGTGAAAAGTACTTTTTGTGTATTTGTATGTCACCTGTATTTTGTCGTCTCTTTCGGTACTGCCACAGGATGTGTTACAGAAGACTATTTTGCAGAAATTTTAACTTACTTGAATTATTGCACAGAGAAAGTAATTTTTGTCGTTTTGTCATCATGTGCCAAGATTTAATTGTCTTACGGTGGATTTTTATTGGAGGCACCTTGAAACCTCCTTGAACTCAGCCCTGAAAGCTTCCATCTTTATCAGACTTGGGTTCACTCTTACACGTTTGCACTGAAGGCTCCTCCTAAAACTGTGTCCCACTTTTGACTTTAAACAGAAAGAACTGGCAGCTTTCTGGCTTTTCATTTGATCCCCATCGAACTAAGCTGCTATTATTTTTCTAACTCATCATTTTAACCATGTTTTTGTTTAATGTGAAATGTGTTTTTATGATGCAGTAATTTGTTTTATATGTGTGTGTGTGTGTCGGCAAGTAATTTTTTTTTATTAAGTTTGCATTTTCTGTTGGCAACTCTGTCTCATAAGGGATAAAAGGACGGGAGAATTTATTTGGTATTTTTTGTTGTTTTATTTTTATTTTTTGCACAGTGTCTGCATGCAATTAAAAACTGTAAATGTTACAATAGCTCTGTAGCAGAGATGTTTATAAATGTAAATCTATTTTCTCTGGTACATTTTTATTGAACCTGCTAAACATTTGGCCCATTGTTGTTTTACCAACACATTCTCGCACCCAAAGCGTCCAAATATGACGCGTGTGACCAAGCGTCAATATATGATGATTCGGGATGCCCCAGCACATCAGGAGACGACGATCAGGGACACGCAGGGACACATGCCTCCGCTGGCGTCACTGTTTGACGCCCGCGGTCACACGGACGTTATTCGACTATTTAACCTTCCCCTCACCCCAATCCTAACCTTAAGGTCAGTAACTGTGACCTTAAGGTTAGGATTGGGGTGAGGGAAAGGTTAAGTAGTTCACAAGTAGTTCTAATGTCCAATGCTTCATTGGAATCTCCACAGCCCCAGCCAGTACTGTGGCTGGCCAATCACATCGCGTTTATTTAGAAAAAACAATGTATTTTCATCTTTCTCCCTGCTTTTTCCACGGACTGCCCCGTTGACTGACATCCGTATCAGTCCAATCACATCGCTCTATTGGTCTGATGGGCCAGTCACAGCACTCTGTTGGTGAGTGGGATGTTACAGAAAACAAAAAAGATGACAGCTCTTTTGGCTTTGGCATTAACTTTGGACTTGGGCATTTCTTCAAGTCAAAAGTAGATACAGGTACTTAAATTTACTTAGGAAAAAAAGGATGTATTTGCATCTTTTTGACGGAGTATGGTGGACTGCCTCGTTGACCGACATCTGTAGTGGTATGTCACATTGTTTCTTAACCAATATCATGTGGAGACCGTTTGAAGGACAACTGTAGATCCCACCCCATGACTAAGAGTCGTCAACGGACTGTGGCCAGACTATATATTCACATATAGAGGATGGCTTGCCTGGCTAAAATACAGTAAGACTGATACACTGCTTTTGAACATTGATTCAGTATCATAAGGAATATTGCAATATTTTAGGGTATTCTCCTACATCTTTCGTCGCACCTCTACGTTTAGTTTTTATGCACTACGCTTTCAGAATGCATCAACCTCAGAAGTTCAGATCAAGCCAGACAGAAAATTAAACACGGGAGCATCTGGCAAAAATGTTTTATTTATGGGATAATAAATGTTTTTTCAAGTCATGTCAATGAGATCATGTGATCTAAAGTGTAGCTTGGTTTTAAAAAGTTCCAGAGCAGTTTGATGTAATTGCTAAGCATGTCCATATCACAGCACACAGCTTTGACCATGAGAAGATTTTCACTGCATCCAGCTTCATGATGTATAAATGCATGCAAAAGAATTGAACATGCTTCATAGCACAATGTCAGCTTTGCAGCTTTTGGTGTGCAGTCCCCTTTAGAACTAGCCTGGCAAACCAGCCTATATATGTAAATATATAGTCTGGCTATGAGTCATTGAAACATCCCAGTCATGGGGCAGAATCTACACACGCAACTGGACAGCGCTAGGACCAATCAGAGCAATGAAGAACTTGACGCATTTGTCGCTACAGTTGTCAGTCAACGGGGCAGTCTGCCATGTCATAAAAGAAGATGCCAATACAACTTTAAAAAAAAAATAAAGGACTTAAGTACCTCTATCTGCTCATGTCTCAAAGATCGTCTAAAGTTGGTAAAATGGCATGTATTTGTATAGCGCCTTCTTAGGGTTCTACAACCCCTCAAAGTGCTTCACAACATCAGTCTTTCACTCATTCACACACACACATTCACATGCTGGTGGTGATGAGCTACGATGTAGCCACAGCTGCCCTGGTTGCACTGACAGAGGCGAGGCTGCTGAGCACTGGCGCTACCGGTCCCTCTGACCACCACCAGCAGGCAAGTCAGGTTAAGTGTCTTGCCTAGGGACACAACAGCAGAATTCTCTGGTCGGAGCCGGCATTGAACCTGCAACCTTCCGATTATTGGACAACCCGTGCTACCTCCTGAGCTACTGATGTCCGTAGTTGATGCCAAACTGTTTCAAACGAGCACCATTCCTGAGCTGATGCCATCTTTGTAGTTTTTCTCCATCTCAGCTCTAGTGTTGTAGCGAGCGTGCACCTTAGTGGTTCCGTTAGAACCTTAGAATACGCGGCTTTTTCAGGGTAATGAGGCCGCAGGTGAGTTTTATTGTACAGACCCTGGTTTGGACTCCCTAATTAGAACTAGTTTTCTATTTTAAGTTGGAATGGAGATTGCCGTACTTGTTCTTCTGTGACAACACACTTTCCTTTTAATTTCCCGTTATTTAATGGTTTTAAATGCTAGGGCGAAAGTTTACTGGAGGCCATCCAGCTGACTATTATTTGAGTCCTATCAGGATTAATTTGCGCCTCTGTCAGCATATGTGGGCGATGGTAACTAGAAAATGATTCCTGTTAGTTGATTAGGCTAACATGGATTTATCAATTAGTCTAATTAATCCACCCTTTGAAGTGGTCCCTTCCCACGCTAAACAGAGACTTTTTCACACGTGCAGAACAGAGCCTGTTTGAACCAACGAACTATTATGGTTTATAACCCTTAGGATGCCCCAATACATGAGGTAGGAGGAGAGACTAGCTCCCATTACCTAAGGTATCTTTTCTTAATCTGTCACAACCTGAAACAAGTCCTGAAGTACAGGAACAAGCTATTTAAGGTGGCTTACCTTTTGCTACCAGATCTGGTCCGGGCTCCCACTCAAAGGCTAAAAGAGACCTTTAAGAATCGAGAACGAGGATTCTTTTTCCAAGAAGTTTATTTCAAAATTAAAAAATACAAAAAAGAGTAAATCTAAGATTAACAAGTCCCCTTAGGAGGATGCTGCTTCTAAAAATCTTCCTTAGAATAACTGCTCTCTCTTCCTGCAACTGTCGCTGCTACTTCGTCAACTTCTGTCAACTCTAACTGTCACTCTCTCTCTGTCACACGCTCTCACTCCTCTCGTCGTCCTCCGTCCTTTCAGCGAGACACGAAACTGTTCGGGCCAATGGTAGACCTGCTAAGGCTATAATGGAGCATGGCTAGACCGACCTGCAGAACAAAGACTTTAGCTACGGTTTGTCTAGATTTCTAGGTTACATCACAACAGCACCTCACTAAAATGCAAATGTTCAAAAACTAGCAAATTTTGTAGCAAGTTTTATATGAGACAAATAATGCAAACACATCTATTAGGTACCTGTATACAAAATGTCTGTTTCTTTGCTATTTACCCTCATTTTATTCACAATTAGGCTGTCAGCCTCGTCACAAAGTTGTCTCACTATTTTGCACGATCTAGCTCCGAAAAAACAAAATAAAGTTCCGACCTGTTCCAGATGACAGCCTGACTGTTTAAGGAGTAATTTGCTATGCTGAACATATTCAAAATGATTGCAACAGAAGAACTATTCCTTGCAACTCACAAGGTAATTAAAAAAACATTATTTTTGAGAAGTTTTGGAAACTCCCTCGTGAATGAAAAAAAACCAACCCTGGATGTGTGTCCAGGTGTTGTTAGCTTTAATTCGTTACTTAATGGTTTTGTGCGATGGGAGTAGGCATGACTTGAGTCCCAAAAGTACAACATGGCAGCTCCTGTAAATTTTGGCTTCACGTTTGTACAATGAAAGCAGACAGACACATTGTTTATCTCTATAAATGTCGATGAGTTAAACCAGAATGTAGGATCGTGTCTTTTCTATTTATAGAAGTGGCCTTCCTACAGAGGAACTACGAGTCACAATATTCATAATACTGACCCACATTTGGAGTTCCAGGTGGGGTGAGCAATGAGGGAAATGGTTTAGTTCTGCTATAACTGACCCCTGAACTTCCTCCTGTTTAACACACAAACCATTTCCATTCAGCAACTGCAGCGAAGCACCTGACCTTCTAGCTGCCCAGTGCCATTCAGCTTCTCTCTCATCTCACATCAGATCGATATTTTTGGCAGAGTTTCCCCCGAACTAAAGAGTTGAAAGTGAAGGATTACATGTAAGTACATTAAAACAAGTATTGCTGTGAGAGTCCTGTGCCTTTGAATGGGTTTCGTCGTGTTTGATGTTGAATGTGTGAGATGCATCACAGCTGAAACGGCTGTTTTGGTTTTATTGTATGAAGCTGTCTGGTAATGAATAGACCGTGTGCACTTTTTGAGTACAGTAACACTACTGAGTAAAGTTTGTGATGAGCAGTGTTTGACAAGTGTCTCAAAAGAAAAGAGACATTTTTTATTCATGCCTTTTATTTAACAATCTCCCTCCCACGTTATCTTAAATGTATGCACTCTGGAAATGTACATGTGTGTATGACTTTAAGGAAAAAACATGAAGTTGAGAAAAATATAGTGTAAAGGGAATTTGCTTGTAATTAAAAATAAATGTGGCTATTATTGTACTTGGCTGGAACAGAGTTGTGTGTCTTTTGATTTTTTTCAGTGTTTTTATTTCATATCTCTGATTGGTGAGTTTAGTGTATGAATGCAGTTGGGTTTAGAGCTGCATTCATTTCTTCAGGTTCAAACATGAAAAGATAGGAGAGTTTGTTTTTTACTTAAGAAAATCAACAACCTACATGTCCTATCATGTTTTTTTCTATTAATTAACTTGAAACAGAAGGTAAAACGCCAACCTTCAGTCTTTGTACCATAACAAAGAGGAGGGAAATGGTATTTCATTTTGAAGTAAGTTTCAAAACATTTCCAATGGAGAAAAATGTGTTGGAGTTATAAAATTCTGCACCTTTTGAAGAAAGCAGGCTGCTTACGAAACAGTGAGCAATACTTTGTGGGGCATTTAGAAAAATCCACATTTGTGCTATAGGTATTGAGGCTCGTTTAGGTTATTAAAATATTCCCATCTCACCCTCCGTGGGTGGTCTCATCCTTCCAAGCTCGGGTCCTCTACCAGAGGCCAGGGAGCTTGAGGGTTCTACACAGTATCTTAGCTGTTCCTAGAACTGCACTTTTCTGGGCTGAGATGTCTGATGTTTTTTCCTGGGATCCGCATTAGCCACTCCTCCAATTTGGGGATTACTGCCCCAAGTATACTGACCACGGGCAACACCGATGTTTTCACTCTCCAGGCTTTCTCAAGTTCATCTTTGAGGCCCTGGTACTTCTCTAGTTTCTAGTGTTCCTTTTTTGCTGATGTTGCCATAGCTTGGAATTGCCACATCAACCACAATGGCTGTCCTCTGTTGTTTGTACACCACCACAATGTCTAGTTGGTTCCCACAAGAGCTTGGATCACACGTTTTCAACCACCTTAGGGGGTGTTTCCCAATTTGACCTTGGGGCTTCCAGTCCATGCTCTGCACAGATGTTCCTGTACACGTTGCCAGCCACTTGGTTGTGGCGTTCCGTGTATGCTTTGCATCTTATACCCAGCAGTTATGTGGTGGATTGTCTCAGGGGCCTCTTTGCATAGCCTACACATTGGGTCTTGTCTGGAGTGGTAGATCTTAGTGCCTCTATGCTGTCCTTAAGCCCAGCTCTTTCTAGCCATTGGTAGGATTTGTTGATATCAGCCACTTCAGTTATCTGTCTGTGGTACATCTCATGTAGAGGTTTGTCCTCCCACAATGGTATTTCCAGCATTTCCTTCTCTGTTTGCCATTGTCTGAGACATTCAGTGAGCCCATCATCTGTTGGGGCCTTGATGTACTAATGGATTTTGGATGTCTCATCCTGGACAGTGGCTCTCACACTCACTAGTTCTCGGTCTCCTTCCTTACGGCTAGTGTACAGTCTCAGGGTGTTGGATTTGGGATTGAACCCTCCATTCATGGTTAGGCGCCCCCGTGTCTTAACATCTGTGGTTTCTTCTTTTAGCCAGCTTATGATTCCTGTAGGAAATCTGATTACTGGTAGGGCGTAGCTGTTTATTGCCCAGATCTTGCTCTTGTCATTGAGCTGACTTCTTAGGACTTGCCTTACTCGTTGTAGGTATTTGGCTGTCGCTCGTTTCCTTGCAGCTTAATTGAGGTTGCCATTTGCTTGTGGGATAACAAGGTACTTGTAGCTGTCCTCAATGTCTTCTATTGTTCCTTCTGGGAGTGAGACCCCTTCTGTGTGGACTACCTTCCCTTTCTTCATCACCATCCGACCACACTTCACAAGTCCAAATGACACTCCCAGTGATGGTCAACAGTTTCAAAGGCTGCAGTCAGGTTCAGCAGAACCAGAACAGAACAGTCCCCTGCATCACATTGTGCCAGAAGGTCATTAGAGACAATAAGAAGAACAGTTTCAGTGGGAACCTGACTATGGGAACCTATCATAGATGTTATGTTCATCAAAAGTAGCTGTGAGATGTTTAGCCACTACCCTTTCCAAAATCTTGGAGACGAATGGAAGTTTAGAGATGGGTCTGAAGCTTGGATATGGAGAGAAGGGTCAAGACTTGATTTTTAAGAACTGAGTGGATTACAGTGTTCTTAAAGTAAGCAGGGACCTGACCAAAAACCAGAGAAGCATTAATTATAGAGAGCACGCTGGGGCCGATGGACTGAAAAGCATTTTTAAACAAAGATAAGGGTAAGATGTTGAGGGGCATGCTGAGGCCTTTATAGAGTTTAAGTCTCTTTACCGAGTATTTTTCTTATCCAATGACACCATCTAGTGGGTGACATGCATATCACACTCCTTCCATTTTTTTTAAGAAGATGACTTCACGTTTCTTATTTATGTCCTTCTGTAGCCGACAAACAGAGATAAAACATGTTGTTTTAAACATACTAATCTTATGTCATGTTGTGTTCTCATATATTTATGTTTTAAGAGACTTACTTGTTGAAAAGTTCACCAATTCTGCATCAGCTGAGGTACTCCTTAAATTTGAAGCACGTAAGCGGTAGTCTAACGCTAATGGTTAGTTCCGGTCGGTGCTGTTTCCTATTGCATGGAGGTCTGCGAGGCAGGGGGCGTGTTTAGCAAAAAAATTATATATATAAAAAGACGTATTGCTTACAGTATATCACAGTACATCATGAGATCATGAGATCACTTTTACGGATTTCCAAAAATCCTACATAATTTCTGAAAGGGGAAAACTCTGGAAAGATACTTCAACTAGTTTGGTTAGCTTGGGTAAAGAAACAGGAGCAAAGCTATCTAAGACAACAGGCTGGGTTGGAGTCGGAAGAGGCAGAGATAAGTCTGATGGAGAGATGCTTGATCTAACCTTATTGACTTTGTCCACAAAGAAAGGCAAAGTTTTCACAGTCTGCAACAGAGTGGATAGACACTGTAGATGAAGCAGGAGAAACAATACTGCTGATGGTGTTAAACAGCACCTTTAGGTGGGTCCTGGAGGGTATGTGGGAGTTCACCCAAACTGGAGGGTATGTGGGAGTTCACCCAAACTGGAGGGTATGTGGGAGTTCACCCAAACAATATACATTTGATTTGTGGAATTCGAGAAGGTGCTCAACCGCATCTCTCAGAGGACCCTGTGGGGGGTACCTAGGGTGTATGGGGTACCCGGCCCTCATATACGAGCTGTTTGGTCCCTATTTGACCGGTGTCAGAGCTTGGTCTGATAGTACGTCGGGCTCGTTTCAACTGGTGCAAAATGCGGCAGCTAAATTTTTGATGGGAAAACAGAAACTTGATCATGTCTCACCAGCCTTGGAATCCCTGCATTGGCTGCCTGTGGATTTTCGGATTCGTTTTAAAGTCCTTTTATTGGTTTTTAAATCGTTACATGGACTGGCCTCTTCTTATCTGCAGACATTAATACATCCATATGCACCGGCACGGGCACTCCACTCTGGCAACAATCTGCTACTCACAGTCCCTAGATCCTGTAACCCCCAAGGCGCTTTACAACACAATCAGTCATTCAGCCATTCACACACACATTCACACCCTAGTGGTGATGAGCTACATTGTAGCCACAGCTGCCCTGGGGCACACTGACAGAGGTGAGTCTGCCATACACAGGCGCCACCGATCCCTCCAAACACCACCAGCACGTTAGGTAGGTTAAGTGTCTTGCCCAAGGACACAATGCTAGCGACAGACTGACTGGGGCTTCAACTCCTGTGTTACCGTTGCTATGTGTGAATGGATGAATGATACACTATGGTGTAAAGCGCTTTGGAGTCCTCTGACTTTAAAAGGCACTATACAAGTCTGGGTCATCAAATGTTTTTAGATAGATAGATAGATAGATAGATAGATAGATAGATAGATAGATAGATAGATAGATAGATAGATAGATAGATAGATAGATAGATAGATAGATAGATAGATAGATAGATAGATAGATAGATAGATAGATAGATAGATAGATAGATAGATAGATAGATAGATAGATAGATAGATAGATAGATAGATAGATAGATAGATAGATAGATAGATAGATAGATAGATAGATAGATAGATAGATAGATAGATAGATAGATAGATAGATAGATAGATAGATAGATAGATAGATAGATAGATAGATAGATAGATAGATAGATAGATAGATAGATAGATAGATAGATAGACAGACAGACAGACAGACAGACAGACAGACAGACAGACAGACAGACAGACAGACAGACAGACAGACAGACAGACAGACAGACAGACAGACAGACAGACAGACAGACAGACAGACAGACAGACAGACAGACGTGTGTGTGTGTGTGTGTGTGTCAAAATCAAGGATGCTTTCATGGATTCATTTGCTTTTATTTCCCAGGTAAAAAATTGTTAAAACATTTTGACAATCTTACCTCTTGAAATCTATGAAGATCTCACAGACAGTTTTACAGCATAACTGGTCTGTTTAAGGTCAAAGGTCAGACATTCTGCCTTGTCTTTTTAATTTACTGTTGAGTCATGACTTTAACCAAGCTGGACCTGCAGTGATTCAGCTGTTGCTCTTGGTTACGTTTCTTTAGAATGGGGCATGATGTGTTTCTTATAGAGATATTTTAGCCTCATCAACACATGATCTATTGACATAACTCCACAGGTGTAGCAATAATCACACTTTGGTGTGTCTAATGTCGTTTATCTCAGTTCATTCACGAGTTAACCATGGCAGCAATAGTTTTTTTCATAGCTCTGTATGCACATTTTGATTGGCAGCATCGGACCATGGGGTGCTTGTAAAGTTTTTCCTATATACCAAATTCAACAACAGAAAATTTGAAAAAGAGTACTAGTTTGTTGGACTCAGTGTGAGCTTGTGAGAGTAAAAGTTCAGCTATGTCTGTCAGCGTGTGTTGTCAGACTTCATAAAGACTATTTCCCACTCAGTCACAGCTCCTCAGCCGAATCCCGACAGGCAACAGGAGATAAGGCCAGCCTAGTCACCCATAGCAACCGCTGTGACCAGTCAGAGACCTCTGTGCAAGTCGGCAACTAGGAAGTGAGCTAATTAACCCAGAGTTCAGGACGGAAGGAGAACAGCGTTTTAATAAGATTCACTGTTACATAAACAGAGACACCCCTCCAAATTCCCTGGAATATTTTCACTCTGCGTCCGTCCATCTGTCGCTACGAGGAAGAGGAGGAGGCATTGACGAGGCTCGCCACAGGGCAGTAGAAGAGGAGAGGACCACAGGGCACCACTTGGCAGGTAAAATGACCAAACACACACACACACACATTGTTCTTTGCTAAAATGTTCCATTATGTATCAACACAACGTGTACTTTCCTTGAATTTAGAAGCCTTTTTAAAACCTGAATGATTCATTCATCACGGTTAAATGACATAACAAACAATATTATGTTGCTCAAGTACTGGACTGAACAAGAAGGGAAAAGCTGACATTGTGTAAAGAAGTTTCAGACATCCTGAAGAACTTTCTATGGAAAAGTGAAAAGAAATGTGTGATCCTTGTAAGCAAAACATCTAGAGATCAATAGCGTATTCTACAGATGTCGTCACCGAGAAGTGCTGCTGGGTTCTAATTCTAGACAAACAAACCGTATTTGCCAATTCAAAATAAACAGACAAAAACAACCCAACAGACACCATATTCATCCTTTAAAGGTATAGCGGAGAATTTCTTTTCCTGGGTGGATCATCTGAACCATTGGTCTGCATAACTGTCAGTCATTCTGGTGAAGCATTCACGCAAGGCTGTCAAAGTGGCGGCTTACCTAAATCAAGCCCTTGTTGACTCGTGCGCACGTGGAGTGTGTGCTCCACACATTTGTTTTATCCAGGCTCGAATACTGCGATGCTTTATATGTTGGGCTAAGTCAAGGAGCACTGAGATGTCTACAGTTTGTTCAGAACTCCGTGGCGAAATTTGTGACAGGGACAAGGAGGTCGGCACATATCACTCCTGTGCTGGCCTCATTACATTGGCTCCCTGTAGGTTTTCGGGCTACATTTAAAGTTATATGCAATGTCTTCCGGTCTCTTTATGGTGGTGCCCCACCATACTTGGCAGCATTAATAAAAAGGCATACCCCATCACAGACTCTACATTCAGCTGATCTGGAGCTACTGACTGTCGCACAAACTAGGTACAGCTCTAGAGGTGATCGGGTTTTCTCGGTCTTGGCTTCTTCTCTCTGGAATGAGCTTCCACTTGATATTAAACTGTCACCTTTGCTGCATGTTTTTAAGAGTAATTTGAAGACTAATTTTTATTGTTTGGCTTTTATGTGCCCTGGTTGTATGCTTTTCTGCTGCTTGTTTGAATTTTGTATGGTGCTTTTGTGTTTGTATGTTGTTTTATCTCCTTTTTATAGCTATCTGTGTTTTTACTGTATTTTATGTTCAGGGCCTTGGGCTCCGGCAAAGGCAGTTGAAGGTGCCATACAAATAATGATTGATTGATTGATTGATTGATTGATTGATTGATTGATTGATTGATTGATTGGTTGGTTGGTTGGTTGGTTGGTTGGTTGGTTGGTTGGTTGGTTGGTTGGTTGATTGATTGATTGATTGATGTTCTTGTTGCTGGGTAGTTTTCATTTCCTGTGCAAAGCAAAGGTTGGGCTCCCCACAGACGCCTCTGTCGTTGGTTTTCTGCTCGAGAGGTGAGCTAAATTTGGCATGCTATTTGGAGATTCATTTCAGATTATTGCTAGAAGAAGTTAGCTGCAAGGCCAGCAGCTACTCATAAACTGAGCGTGCACGAGGATAACTGAGTGTTCTCTCTTGTGAGCACTTTTTTCAAAACGTGGAAAGGGCTGTTCTTTCCTGAAATTCAGAAACATCCTCCACCATACCTCTAATGCTCAGTTACTCAGTACTCACAGTGGTCAAGTAACCTTTTCCCTAAGTTCTTATTTTTGTTCTTATGTTATAATCTGTGCCACTACTTTTTACATATCACCCACTTCTGGTCAAAAGCTTTTTTCGTCCATGTTCGGATGCCGCTTGGCCGAAACGTTCAGCTGGACTTCTTCTTTTACACCGCTACCTCCTGGATAACTCCACATCTGAGAGTGTTGCAAGTATCAGCGTGCCATTCTCTGACCTAGGACCTTATCCATCAGCAAACATATGGAACAAATATATGCGCACCCGTTGTTCTGCTCCAGACTGTGAAAATCCGCTCTTCCACCTAAATACTTCCACTGCTTTGCTTTTTCTGTCTTTAGCTTGGCTTGTTTCCCTTTCCAGCAGTTTCATGTGGTTGCAAACCTTACTCGGTTTTGGATAAAGGATAAAAAATGACCCCTCCAGCATTCAGTCTGGCAATCTAGCCCCCCACCTCCACCCCTCCCCCCAACCCCAACAGTGGTGCTTAGTTCCTTCTTGTTTGAACATCTTTAGGAGACGAAAATACAACTTTGAGATGAGCAATGCGACTCAGACCCATGGGCAACCATGCAAAATGCACACTTGTTTGTCTAGGGCCACATCCCACAATGCATTTCTACGTTACTTACGATCTATTTTTAGCTACTGTAGAATACACTATTGCCTAGCATATTGCAGTTATCATGCTAGAGCTGATCTGTTTCATATGTGACGAGAAAGACTCTCTGCTTCTTCCTTACAAAGTTTTCCTCAGTCTGCAGAAATTACTCAGTTATAGCTGTGTCTGCTAATGACAGCTGTAGTATGCATCTCATGAAAGTTTAATTTAAATCGGTGCAGTGCAATATGTTTCCAACAGTCAGAGTTGATGCTAACTACTAGGGTGTGAATGTGTGTGTGAATGGGTGAATGACTGGCTCTGCTGTAAAGCGTCTTGGGGGGTTCCAGGATTCTAGAAGGCGCTATATCAAATACAGGCCATTTATCATTTTACAGAACAATGCTATCCCAGGCTGTTTAGTCGATCACAGCTTGCCTATTCAGTAGTTTTTAGCTTTAGGCAGCTAGAGCCATCTGGGTAAACTGGCCAATCAGCAGGAAGCTAATGTCATTTACACACTAGCATTGGCTCCACTCCACTCGGCACGCCCCAGCCTGGCTGCGTTCGTTTCGCGCCTTCGGAATGCAGACGTGATTGAGCACATGGGCGGTCTCCAAAAATGGCACGAAAAATGTATATCAGTGACGTCATGAGTACATCTCCGAGCATGTGGGCGGGGCAAAAGAGCATGGAGAAGTCCTTTGTGTCTCCATTATTAAACGAAAGCAGCCTGAGCGTAGTCTTGCTTTTGGGGAAACTCTGACTCTAATATTGCATCCTGCTTTGCTGTGTCTGGCAGCACTCTGTGTGTGTGTGTGTGTGTGTGTGTGTGTGTGTGTGTGTGTGTGCGTGCGTGTGTGTGTGCTCCTCACAGCAGTGAGAGACACAGAAAAATGGCTTCAGTCACATGCTCGTTAACTACACAGCATCCAGAATGATAACTAATCACACTAGTTGGAAGCCCCTGCGGGCTGATTCTGTCCACCAATTAGAGGCTCCCGCTAATAGTAGGCATCAATTTGAGCTGACCAATCAGTAAAAAGCGTGCGGGACCAGTTTGGCTTCAGGCAAACTGCCTCTAGAAGAATGCTGAAAAGACACCCGGTTGGCTACCCAAATGAGAACACTCCGAACCAGGTCCAGGTCGAGTAGAACCAATGCTAGTGCGTAAGTGCCATAAGTGAGCAGGGTAAACCCATCTTTCCATTGTATATGACAGGGTTGTGTTTGCCCCTTTTGCAGGGCTCCTGGGCCATTGTGAGCCTCAATAAAGTTTCATATGCTATTTAGAAGCTCAAAGAACAGTTTTCGATCCCAAAAAGGTTATTCTGGAACACCTTTAAGGGAGAACAACAATCACACTGACTCTCAAAGCTAATTGATTGCAAATGTGCATCCAAACATTTATTTAGAAAGTTTATTCAGTAATTTGTAAGATGTTTTGCTAATGGATGTACACCCCGACTGGAAAAGTCCTTATTGCTGCTAGAAGGGTGAGTGAAGACTTTTAACTCAGAATATTGCTGGAAAATAATATAAGCAGAGGACGAAAACTGAAATTTAATTTCCCCCTGATTCACTTCTTTTACTTTTTACATTTTTACAATAGAGTCAAACGGATTCCTTTTAGTCAGACACTATTTGCGTGCGTTAAAACCTTGTTTGCCATTGAAATGATGCCGCTCTGTTTGAGGATTAAAACGAGAAAAGCTTCAGCTTTGGTGGAGTGGCGCACTGCTTTGACTCCTCCAAAGGGAGGAGGGGGGAGGCACTGTTTGTCTTCATCAGCGCATGGTGGCTACAGTAGTCAGCTGTTAGAGAAAAAGAGGGGAGGAGCTGGATGTGGTTCTGCTGGATGACTCACTCTCCTGTCAGCCCAAAGCACACTCACTCATTCAGGCTTTCTGCGCTCAACGGAACCGCGCGCGGATGAACACAGCTGCTCACGCGCAGCAGGCACGTTAGGTGGTGATGGTGGAGGAGGAGGGGTGGGGGGGAGAGGAAGCGCTGCCTATCCGAGGGGTTCCTAATCAAAGCGCATCATCAGGGCCGTTCACTCTCCGCTGGAGGGCGAGTGGTTCAAGAGCACCGGGACGCGCCGGGCCGGCTGGAGACGGGATAGCGCAGCGGCTGGAGGACACGGAGGAGCATCATCTCTCCCTCCGCCGTCGGGATTAAAACTCACGTAAGAAACAACAGCTTTCGGAAATGCTGCCATCGGGACGTCCACGTTGATCATGCTGGGTTGCTCAGCTGGGAATTCAGACGTGCTTGTTTTTATTAGACGGATGCTGCTGCTGGAGCCTTTAGTTGAACTCCATCTCTCCATACCCCGCTCCCATCATTCAGACACACACACATCCCCCTACTCTCTCTCTCTCTCTCGCTCTCACACACTTACACGCGCGCGCGCGCTCACACACACCGCTGGAGACAGTAGCATTTGCTAGCTATAGCTAACCAGACGCTTTAAAACGGACATATAGCAAATTGCTATCGAATGTGCTCCGACATTGCTAGGCGCTTTGGCTCCTCTGTCGGGTAAACACGTCAGAGAGTCGCTGCGGAGTGGGAAGTGGATGAAAAGCAGGCGGTTATTGGTGTTTCCAGCGTCTGGGAGGCTAGGCAGAGGGGCTAGCTGTAGCGGGACAGAGAGGAGAAGCCAGCCCGGGGATGAACCAGGACAGCCAGGCTGAACTTTACCTCGCTGGACTGACCTGCTGCAGCTCTAATTAAATGATGATGTAGGGGAAAAAAAGGGTCCCAAGGCTTTTTTTTTCTGTCAGCAGCTAGTTGAATCAGATTCTGCAGCTGCTAAGCATGCATTAATGCAAACACACGTTTCCTTATTACTAAAACTGTTTGTGTTGTGCAATCTCAGTCAAACAAACTTATGACGTATAAACATTTCTGAGGTACGAATACAAACTCAGAAATGTAAATTCTGTTGCAAAAACAGTTGATTTATGGCATGTTTTGTCTTAATATGTTGAAAAAGTGTCTAATTTAATAAGTGGATTTTTCTTATATCTACACTTTTTAAAATTAAAATGAGATTTTCACTCAACGATTATCAAGAACTAAATTATCATGAAATGTATGATGTGGAGCAGCTTTAAATGTTTTTTACAGTAACAGTGAAAAAAAAGCATATAAATAAGATTTCAAACGTCTCTCAAGTAAAACACATTATTATGTGTTTGAAGCGTTTTTGCATCTATGTTATAAAACAAGAATCTATGCAAATGAAGTCAGAAAATGAGCAGAGATTTCAAGGATTTTTTTTTAGAAAAAGTTTCTTCTACCTGCATCAGAATAAGGTCACGGCTTGAATGGCTTTTGTTTGACGAAGGTGAAATGACCCCTTCACTCTAGAACAAACTCCCCGTCACCTGCGTCCGATGATAAATTTGTCTACTTTCAATTCAAAGCTTAAGATGTCTCTATTTCAGCAGGCATTCTATTATTAGAGAATTTATGGTAGCCATCCACACTTTTATTCTTCTTTTTTAGCTTTTACTATTTTTGTATTTTAATTAGATTTTTATTCTAAGGGTTTACGTTCTATCTTTAATCTTAATCTCATTTTATGCTCTATGTGGTCTTAATTTGTTATGTAAAGCACTTTGGTCCCCTCCATGTGGAAAGAGTTAAATATAGATACACTTGATTGATTGATTGATTGATTTGGGATCATTTTTAATCACCAGAAGGTTATTTTTGTGGTTTTCCCTGAAGCTGCCAACGTTTATTCTGAATAGACTCCACCACACGCTCCAGCAGGGTATATTTTTTATTTGTTGAGGAATAACTCGTGGATAACTATTTGCTCAACAAATAGGCCATAAAGCATCCTTTTGACGTTGGGTTTACAACAAATTGAATGTTTGCTGATGATCCCTTAAAGGCTCACGTGTGTTTAGAGACTCGATTTTCTCACGGGATAGTAACTTGTACTACGTCATAAATGTTGCTGTTTTTAAAGTACTATGGAGCATGTGAGCGCCTTTGTCTGCGTCTCCGTGTCCTCTGCTTGTTGACATTGGCACATAAACGTCTTTCTGGTGATGATGGAGACAAACACGACACACACACACGCTAACAAGCCATTACCTGTGGCATAAACCCAGACGCTGATACAGTTTGATGAATAAAGGTGGACTAAGTTGCAGAAATCCTAGCTGAGGGCGTGCATTTTCTTTTCTTTTTTTAATGTTATTTTGTTCCAGATGACAGTGCCTTTGGGAGTTTATTATTAATATTAATATTATTTTTATTATTATTATTATTTCCAGATACACCCATGATCTCATAAATCTCAATAAACGAAATGGAAATACAATTTCATCCAATATTTGAAGCTGTGCAGATAAAAATATGTTTTGCTGTTTGTTATTTTATCATAATAGCTTCTCCCAAAGGGAAACAGTAATAGTTCAGGATGTTAATAAAACAAGTATAGTTGAGAAGAAACAGTAGAATCTACGTTTACTGATCTGGTAGTGTTGCATGTTGTAGTCAACAGACTATAAGTCATGCAGGTTTCTTAAAGGACTGTTTTTCTTTAGAGAAATCTTGTTTTTCTGTTTTAAACACGGAAAACTCTCCAACCTTTTATTGATTTGTTTGGCTGAGGATTTATTCTACTGGGACTTAATTTGGAACCCACTGCTTGGTAGTTTACTTGGCGGGAAGCTGGTGTTTTCAGTCATTCCGCTCTTCTCATTTTTGTTTTGCGCTTCCTGTTGGACTTGCAGCAGAAGACTGGTTTGAAGGAGCTCAGCGTTCTCCTTTTGTGTTGGTTTATTTTAACACATTTAAGAAGTTTATTGACATTGTTTTGTGTATGCAAAACATCTTCTCTAAAACGTGTTGCAATAAAGTTTTGCAGTTTAGTTTGAAATGGATGTAGGAACATTAATTTGAATTAATTATTTTCTAAAGTTTTGGAATAAAGTTTTCTAATTGGCTCGAAATCATCACAAAACAAAGTTTTCAACAAAAGATTTTTAATCAGTTTAGTTATGTTCTGCTTTTTGCCTTTATGTGTGATGTCTACTTCTGTCCTTAAACCCACATTTAATGAGGTTAGAGGTCACGCAGAGGTCACGGACAGCCGACATGTTCTTCCGATTTTCATGGCTGATGTTTTTCTGCCATTTTGCAGCTTAAAATGTCACAAATAACAGCTGGAGATGCAGCATTTCTAAACCTGAATCTGTTTTTAACTCTGAATTTAACCAACTGCTTAGTGCTAAAATTAAACAATTAGACAAAGTTAATCAAACAAATCACTAAACTGATTAAGTATTAGGTATATAAAACAGGTAAATAAAAAAAATGCCAGTTGGCATTCGTGTTTTATTAAGATGATGTTTTTCAAGAAGGTAAATATAGACTTAACAAAAATTCGGCAGCAACACTATGCTGCCCGCGGATGTGCCTTAGTTTAAATCTGCTTTACTAACGAGGTGTATAAGCTGTTGTTATGTAGAAAATGGTAAATATTGGCCCAATATCATGGTTAATTATGGTAGTTTAAAAAAGTCTGAGAAGGTAATAATTGTAGAACAAGGGCAAAACACACTGGAAACATTTGAAATGTGGAAAAAATGACCCCAATATACTCTGATGTACATCCAGGGATTTATATTTTTTCTCATATGGCTCCTTTTACCAAACATACATTTCCTAAATAAATTCCATTACTAGAAATACACTTAAATCTGTCTTTTCTGCTTGTCGCAAAGTGGCACGTGGGTCTCAGAGGCATACTGATGCTTTGCTGCACTAAATTTATGCTTTCAGTAGGGATGCACCGATACCAGTATCGGTATCGGTATCTTGAAAGTCAACCGATACCAGGAATCGATACCAACGCGGTAGCTTGAAAGTGGCTTCACCGTAACTTCTCATTTCTGTTCACCTAATATTTTAGTTTTGTGATAATTTCTATTCATATATTTGACTATTTATCTACCTTACAGTCTTTTTCTGCTGAAAGCAGAGAAGAAAACAAAACCATTCCAATTCATAGCTTTTTTTTTGTGTGGTAGAAGTGTCGGTAATCGGTATCGGCGAGTACTCAGATCCAAGTGTCGGCATCGTATCCGGTTTAGAAAAATGTGGTATCATTGCATCCCTAGCTTTGAGTCTATTTTTCACACTCTACACTTACAGAACGCATCAAGTTCAGGAGAGTCAAACAAAAATGCAGTGTAAAACATTACGTACGTTATTACCTGTCAAACCTTCGTAGCCAAAGTAAGCAACAATAAACCACAGCTAATTTTTATACATGCTGCCATCTTTATTCTTGCTTGTTATTGAATGAACTGCCAAAATTATGTATGGTCTTGCAATTCTCGGGAGATTTTGTGACCTTGACCAGCTGATTCACATCTGAAACGCTCCCGGTGGGAAAGGACACTGTGCTTAGTTAGCCTGGACAATAATCTATCAATTATTATAATGAATTTTTACTCTCAGGCGTTTTCATCATCACTTAGAGCAACTCTTCCACCTGCTGATGCTAAATGCTGTTGCTAGTTGCGCTTTCCTTAAAATGTGAACTCATGATGAAACTTGTTGAGTTAATTTTGATTTTGCTGTTGACAGAAATAATTGTAATTATGATTTTTTTACACTACTGAGTAGTGTTACACCATCATGCCTGTAAAATTTAGATAATTGGATAAAAAAATTAAGAATAGTTATATTTTGGTGTAGAGACTGAGACAGCTCCTTGGATGAGAAGGAAAACATCTTCAAAAAGACACGAAACAAAAGTTGAATTTTAAAAACCGTCTAAAGATTAGTTGTTATAAAAATCTGAGTACAGAAGGAACTTCGAATCATCAAGGAACGTCAGTTCTTGTATTGGTGTCAATACCTACAGTTGTCCATATCGAGTTGGAAATATCAGCATAATGTCTTTAGGCAGAAATCCAGTATTGAGGATCCTTGGGCTAGCTTCTTCTCAACAGAAGCCCTTGACAAAGTTGCCAGTCATCCTTATGGATGTTTTAACGCCTCACTAAAAGATGTGTGAACACGTAAGCTCCAGGAGGCAGATAGCTTAAGCCACCAGCAGACGACACACTCGCTGTAGCCTTACAGCCCTGGACATGTCTGCCCATGTGTGTTTTCTTTGGCCAGGTGTGTGTGTGTGTGTGTGTGTGTGTGTGTGTGTGTGTGTGTGTGTGTGTGTGTGGGGTGGGGTGGGGGGATGCGGTATGTGCACATCACTCCTAAGCTCCAGTCCTTGCTCTTCCTGCTGTGTAGCAAGACTCATCCCAAATAAGTCCATATTCAAGTCGATGTGATTCATGAAATTCTCTCAGAAGCTGTCCTTTTTTGTCTCTGCAGACTGAGACATGAGCCTGTCCTGCTGACCAATGCTGATGCTGAACTGGTAAGTGTATAATTTTCATTCAGTCCTGGTTAGGTTTTGCCTGACAGCATGACTGGGCTCTTCTAACCATTTGGTAACAGTCGATGAAAATAAAGGCCCCTTCTCTCCCAGAATGTAGAACAAAACAAGCTACTTCTTCAGTATTTTTTTTCCTGTTCAGACCATCTGTCTCATGATGGCATATTAACGACCCGGCCTCCATTAGAAATTACTTGATTAAAATGAATGCAATAAACATACAACCACTTCCTGCCTGGAGACCTAACTAATGCGATCTCTGCACATCTATCTCTATCTCTGACGTTGCCCCTTCAGGAGGCCCCATTAGCATATACAGATGAGATTTAACGTCACATTTTGGAAATGAGCTGCACTGTGAGCTGGAGACAGCGCACATTTCATTGGATTTGTGTTGAATGATGATTAGCCACAAAGCTAATTTCTCACAGCGTCGTGTGAGTGATTCTGAGCTGCAGCGTTTGCTGAACTGGTGCCAGACATTGCTCACTGATAAGTAGGTTGCATGACTGCTGCAGCAGCTGTATGCCTCTGTACTGCCTGACATTATGATGAAGTTGATGTGATAGTTCTATATAATGTGCTTAGGTATTATGGTGCTGTCTGTGCTAATAATGTTAAAAGTATTAGTATTCATGTGCTTTGAGTAGGGATGGACAATATATCGGCATCAATATCGGTATCGGCTGATGTTCGTCATTTTTTAAACATATCGGTATCGGTTGGATAAACCGGGCCGATATTAACAACTGATATTTTTTCCATCTCGTCTCCATTTGTTTGCCTGTTTTAGAGGGTGTGTGTGTGTGTGTGTGTGTGTGTGTGTGTGTGTGTGTGTGTGTGTGTGTGTGTGTGAAAGAGGGGTGTAATTATTTAGTCATGTGAACAGTGAATGAAATAATCTGAGAACCATAAATGTGTGTGGTGTGTGTATATAATAATGTAAATTCAGCTTTAATACTTTTCATTCTATATAAAATCTGCTGATTTTAGAAGCATTAATGTCAGTATATCGGTATCGACAAATATCGGTTATCAGCCATAACAGTGATCTCAATATCGGATATCGGTATCGACCCAAAAATTTCACATCGGTGCATCACTAGCTTGAGTGTTTGTTTTTATAAAGTAGACAGCACCTTTTTTCGTTATGACCATGACATATATCCATAATGAGACAGTGGATAATAAAAATAATCACTTTTAATAATAGAAGAAGAAGAAAGTATAATTTCTAAAGCTCATCTCAAGATAAAAATCACGAGGCGCTTCACAAAAACAAAAAGTGTAAAAATATAAAAAATAATTTAGAAAATGGTTAAAAATATATTAAAATGAGCAAAAATAGACGATTGTGATTAAAAAATGTTAAGAAAGAGAGAGAGTGAATAGGAAAGAGGGAAATCAGTGGATCCTGAGGAAAGTGGAATAGGTGGGGAGAGCAGAATAAAGAGAGAGTGGTTGAAGAAGGTCATACAAAAGCCAGCTTGAACAAGTGAGCCTTCAGCTGCTTTTTAAAGGAGACCACTGAGTCCACTGATCTCAGGCTCAGGGGGAGAGAGTTCCAGAGTCTGGGGGCCACAGCAGCAAATGATCTGTCACCTTTGGTCTTAAGCCTGGTGCGCTGCACAACCAGTAGGCTTTGGTCACTGGACCTCAGGGACCTGCTGGGGTGTAGGGACTAAGAAGATCACCAATGTAAGATAGTGCTTGTCCATGTAAGGCCCTATAGACCAGAACCAGGATCTTGAAATGAACCCTGAAGTTGACTGGCAGCCAGTGAAGCTGGAGGAGAAGCGGGGTGATGTGGGTGTGTTTGGAGGACTTGGTCAGAAGCCGAGCACAGGCGTTCTGAACCACCTGTAGACGGTTCAGGGAGGTTCTGCTCAGACACGTGAAAAGAGAGTTACAGTAGTCTAAGCGTGAGGAGATGAAGGTGTGGAGAACTGTCTCAAGTTCAGAGCGGGACAGAATGGGACTCAGTTTAGCAATGTTCCTGAGATGGAAGAAGGAAGAGCGAACAAGAGAACTGACATGAGAATCCAGGGTGAGAGCTGGGTCAAAGGTCACGCCAAGATTCCTGACGGAAGGTTTGGTGTGAGAAGCAAGCTGACCAAGAGAGTCTCTGACTTTGGGAACCAGCTTGTCTGGGGCACAGATGAGGATCTCAGTCTTATCTTCATTCAGCTGAAGAAAGCTCCCAGCCATCCAGGTTTTGATAGAGTCTAAGCAGGTGTGTAACAGCTGCAGCTTAGACATCTCATGGGGCTTAAAGGAGATGTACAGCTGGATGTCATCTGCATAAAGATGGTAGGAGATTCCTTTGAAGGAGCGTAGGATGTGCTGAAGAGGAAGCAGATAGAGGAGGAAGAGCAGAGGCCCCAGCACAGAACCTTGTGGGACACCATGGGTAAGAGAGGTGGTGGAGGACCTAAACTTGGAGACGGCCACAGAAAAGGAGCGCTCAGAAAGATGAGAGGAGAACCACTCCAGAACAGATCCTGATAGGCCTACCCAGTCTCTCAGCCTCTCCAGTAGCAGGTTATGGTCAACAGTGTCAAAGGCTGCAGTCAGGTCCAGCAGGACCAGAACAGAACAGTCCCCTGCATCACTGTGAGTCAGAAGGTCATTAGAGACCCTAAGAAGAGCTGTTTCAGTAGAATGAGCTCTACGAAAACCTGACTGTAAGCAATTATGGATGTTATGTTCATCAGGAGCAGCTGTGAGTTGTTTAGCCACAACCTTTTCCAAGATCTTGGAGATGAACGGAAGTTTAGAGATGGGTCTGAAGCTGCTATAGAGAGAGGGTCAAGACTCAGTTTTTTTAAGAAGCGAGTGGATTACAGCATTCTTCAAGTAAGCAGGGACCTGACCAGAAACCAGAGAAGCATTAATTATAGAAAGCACGCTGGGACCACCGCTGTACACAGTTTCTGGCTTCATCCAATCAGCATGCAGCTCATTTAATAGTCACGCCCTGGCCAAGTGGGCGACGCAAACTTGTCTTTCTATTTTAAAGCTTTTTTTATTGGGTTGGAGTTGGCCTTTTTTCAGGGCTCCTGGGCCATTTTGAGCCCCAACATAGTTTCTTATACTATAAAGAGGCTCAAAGATCAGTTTCCAATTGTAAAGAAACAATTTGTTCTAAGGTCCCCCAGCTAGTATTTATTTTGACAACAGGATGTTAAAGCACCACCGAATAACAATGAAATTGTTTTGGTAACATTTTAACAGAGGAAGTGTCTAGAGTAGCTCTTCTGCTTTATTTTAAACATTTAACATCGACAAAAGGAACTTTGTGTTTCTGGAGAAGAAGACGCACAACAAACTGAGTTTGGTCATTGTGATTCAACTTGTTTCCAGCTATATTCACTAGCGTTCCATTTGAACTACAGAAAAGCAAAATCACATTAGTGACATGAAACAGTTTATTAGTTGTTAGTAGAAAAGCTGATTGCAGCAGGGACATTTGTCTTGTTTGTGCAGCCAATTGAAACCGCTTTTTATGACTCACACAACTTGTTTAAGCATTAAACAGCCAACTCCCTCAAAACTACATTTATGAGCCAACTTGGACATTACCCTTCTCCCGAACTGAGCCTTTGTTATACAAGCTCATCAAACGGCCAATCACCCACTGGTAGTTTGCTGTAGATTTATGATCTGCATTGTTTTTCAGCTGATGAGAGGACATTTACCCTGTGCTCTTTTCCAACCACAATGCAGTTCTGGATGAAGAAGATCGAGTTTTCTCTAGAGTTTAAGCAGTTTAACAGTGTTCAGACTGGCTTGATGCCATTGTCAGATCCTAATTCCACCTTTAATGGTCAGATAGCATTAACGTTGTATGAACTGGAAAGTACAGCTTATGAATGCATAAACATCATTGCATACACTGTGCATCAGCATAAATCAGCATGAACTCAACTTAATTTATGATGGCTTGCGCCGTTAATGTTCCAAATCCTGCTTGTACTGTGTGTTGTTGCTAGATTTGGCCCAGTAGTACACAATCATAGTCCTTGAGGGCTTCAATCCTACATATTTTACAGGTTTCTCTGCTTCAACACACCTGATTTAAGTCAGTAGTTTATTACAAGCTTGATGACCTGCTGAACAGGTAATAGAAACATAAATTTAAGAGTGCAGAAACAGCTAAAAGGTGCCGATAGCGTCCCCTGAGGACCAGGATTTGATACCACAGGCTAGCACATCAGGACGATCTCTACACATCAAAATACACATTTAAAATGCATTCACAGATGGATGTAAATATTATAATAGAAGATGGGGTGGGTTTGTTGTCTATGTGTGCAATTTCAGTGATTCAATTATTGCGTGTTAGCAACTTCCCCATCCTACCTGCGGTAGTCAGATGTTCTGGTTTCTGTCGCTGTTATTTTGTTGTTTGCAAACCACTAATCTACAATAAAACAAGAAAAAGAAGAAAATGGGACTGGCGGTGCTGTATTCTTATGAAGCATAGTTGCAACTAAATTCTTGATTCAAGCTCCAAAACCATTCCAAAGGAGATAAATTAACTTTAGTTATAAAATTTATATATATATATATATATATATATATATATATATATATATATATATATATATATATATATATATATAATATAATTAATTATAAAATTTCATAAAACTGGTTTGGGTCAGTGTTTTTTTTTGGTCAACAGCAACAGAATTTTGTCCGGCTCTAATGTGTCTTTGTAGATCAAATATAAATATTACAGCTTTCAGCACTGTGGAAAAAATTCAATTCAATTCAATTGAAGTTTATTTATATAGCGCCAAATCACGACAAGAGTCGTCTCAAGGCACTTCACATAATAAACATTCCAATTCACAGTTCATTAAGCCAATCAGAAAATGCATTCTTTATTAAATTGTATTTAGTAAAAAGATTAATATATTCTTTGACTTCCTTGATGTGAAAAACACTGATAAAGGTCAGGGATTCCTATTAAAACA